ATCAGAATTCAATGTTTTCTTTTGAAAGATTTGTTATGGTTCCATTGCACAGAAACACTGGACTTGATGCAGGAATTAAGAATGTGAGGTCTTAAGGCTTTGATATTTTGAAGTTCATTAACTTCCATCCAAAACCATCAGTTCATTGCTAAGAGGAAACACCGTAATAATAGTGTCAATGTAAAGTCTTTGCCTCTCCATGCCAAAATCTTACTAAAAGGGAATCAGTGATGTATTGATTAATTGTATATTATTTTTTGTAAATGAGAACATTTCTCCATGTAGATCATACTCTTTATGTATGGTGTTTATTGTTGTATGCATCTTACAAAGAGGCTTATTTGCTCAATAAAAAATGTATCAGAATTTCTGGTAACCTGACTTTCTGTGGCGCAGCTGTGGGATATGCTGGTTAAGGGTGGGATATTGAGATTGTTCTGGGTCAGTTACATTGCATGTGAACAGTGTCTCCTTGCCCAAGGCCTGCTCTTCAGTCTAGTTACTCAACATGCACACACACTGCTGGAGTAAAATGCAACCAAAGTCAATTTTCCGTATTTCTCCCATTTTATTTTTCCTGCTGAAGATTAAGTAAGGATCAAGTAAAGACCAAGTCACAATGAGCACAACAGTAGACTGGTTACTGTAAATACATAAAATGACAGTCCTGGCATCAGGAATTTTTGAATTTAAATTGACCAGGTATCTGAAGAATAGGAAGGGACAGAATTAGTTGTGTGTACCCAGCAGTCAGGGTTCAAAAGAGAGATCCTGTCTTAAGCAGGAAGGAATGGACTGGACTGGATGGAATTCCCGAAATATTAAACCCTTGAAACAGTAGAATGTATTTATAAAATGTGTTCTTTTTATACTCTAGAAAAAAAAAATACAAAAATCCTGTAGTCTTATGTAGAAGGATAGAATTTTCAGCCAAGTTCTGCAGCTTGATCAAATGGTCTTCACAAGATTTTATTCAATTTTCTATTAGATTCTAACACACTATAAAAATTGGGGATTAATTTGGCCTATTAAATATTAAAAGATTAACATTTTGCTCATTTTCTCCACAATTTGGAAGTGAATTACATAGCTGCATTACAATTATTTCACTTAATTTTACTTTTCATGTCAGTTTTCTCCCAGCATTAATTTTGTCTGTGTTGCAGATTTCAGCTGAGGACATATCTCACTACAGTCCATTATCTGACCAGTCAAGCCTGCGGCAACAGGGATTCTTTCTTAATTGGAAAGATGCAGTGATGCAGAAAAGGTACATGTAACTTCTTGCACTACCTACACCTTTTAAAAACTCATAATTACAAAGATGACAAACCGTTGTCTATTCTTGGAACTGAAAGATTTTCAGAAGCTGCCAGTGTCAGAAAGTAGAAAGGCTGAGGCCTGAAATTCGTTCCATGTCATGTTATGGAATAGATTTGTAAAGAATGACTGCATGGGAAGCATCAAGTGAGAATTTTTAGAAGCTTTTCAAAGCAATCAGTGAAATCTGATTGAAAAGTACCACTTCATTTTACACTTAATAGTGTTCTCGAGATAAACTGTATTCGCAAAGTTAAATAATACCCCTACTGAGACAAATGACAGCAGCAGGAGACATTCACAGCAAGTTACAGGCTCAAGGAACAGCTGTTTTCAGCTGAGATTTAATATGAAATGGCCAAATTACAGTCATTGTTCTATACCACAGTGGCCAGAGGTTTTCAGCAAGCTCTACCATAACTGATAGGTGTCAAATAATAAGCAAAATCAATCAGACAGCAACAGTGGTTGGACCTGAGCCCTACTGATAAAACTTGATTTGAAATTGAACCTGACTGACACTGAGCTGTGTTTAGCAGAGAAGACCAAGTGCAATGTGACAATTTTTTTCCTCTTTCTGGTCTTGCTTGACTGAATGCACGGAAGCACTTAATTCTCTATGCTCCTATCAGAAAGATCTAATGCGAGAGTCCAGTGGTAGCCAGTCCCTTCTGTGGCCAATCCAATAACACAGTGTGAGTTCAGGCAGTTCATTCCTGGAGTATGGTACAAATTTTTACTGTCCTTGGCAGTTGGCGATTGTGAACTCTGCCTAGTGTTATTCTCCTTGATCCTGATACCAGAGCAGGTTTCTAAGTCATCAACTGCTAGAGCAGCATTCTTCTGGAAATAGAAAGCAAACCTCAGCCTAAAAAATATAACAGAATTACCTTAACTTACCCCTACTGAGAAGCACTCTAAGGCAGCCTTTATATTGCTAGCTAAGATTCAAATAATAATTAGAGACAATTTTAAAATTTTGAATAGTATGGGGAGAAAAAGATGGAGAGATGTGCCATAATATTTCATCCGAAAAGGTCATGTGGGAGTAGTCATCGACTGTTTAAAGATTTCCCCATTCAAATATCTTTTTTAATGGTCAGTTTCTTTCAAAACCTATATGCTCTAGATTTGACACACTTCAGGCAGAGAGGTGATACCTCTACAATACCATATCCAAAAGAAACACAAATAGTGCTAAAAAAGTTGCACACATTTTATCATGGTCTCTCTTTTCTTTTTTTTTTTTCTGCAGAAATGTTGATTTAGTTAGATCTTTAACTGTCTTTTCCCTGTAGTACCCTCAGCATCCCAGTAACAAAGAGCCAGCTGCTTTTCCCAGCCTCCATTTAACACCCAAACAGGAGGAGTCATGCTCTGCCCAGCATTATCAGGACTCACGGGGAAGAAATGGGAATACATTCAGCCTACTTTCTAGGGTTTGACCAGCAGCTTTGGAAATCAGTGGCATGATTCACCCTGATGTTAGAACCTTGTGCATATTGACATTGCTCATCTAAAATACAGTTCTTAAGGTGCTCCCCATAGCTTTCTCCTTCTATCACAGTAAAAACCACAAGATATGCTCAACAGAAATCTAGGAGAAAAGTCTGCTCCATGTACAGTTTATGCTCATTTTAGAGCCTGTTAAATGTTGAACAAGGCTACATGTTTAAACTAATCTGCAGTTCTTTGTGGGACTATGGTTTTGTGTTAATACTGGTGACTGTGATGGGTGAAGGATATAACGTTACATTTGATGAGGATCTGACAAGAACTCCTATCTTTGTTAAATATAGTGAGTTGGTGTTATTAAGGGCATTCTGGAAATCAGAATTTGTGAAAAGAAAAATGATTCTGCATACTTGTTGATCTTTTGTAAATGTTTGCTCCTAAGCAACACGCTCAATATTCAAGATGCTCTGCTTTGTCATTCCTGCAGTACAACTTTACTTACTTAGGCCTAATTAATTTTAGGTTTCATTTCCCTGTGGTTGAAAAGATGCATGGACTGAATTTGGCTCATCATCCCTCCCACTTACACTGCTTAAGTCAGGTTCGAATATGAACAAGAAATCAGTGTAGTACAAAAGGGGTACAGTGTAATGACAAAAAGTACTGTGTAGCAGATGATTTCTATTTTTTTTTAAATATACATTAGGGCTAAAAGGATGACTGCTTTCGAGAAACTTGATAAAAGTTATTATAAAACAGATACTCGGGAAAATGATAGAATACAACTGGAATCAAAAGGATAACTTTAAGGGGATAAAAATCTTTGCAATGCTAAGTGGAAATGTCTGATGTTTTTACAGGGAAAGACATTAGCAGTATGCTGACTGACATTGCTTTTCACTGACCAGTATCTCAAGGTCTAATTTAGAAAAGGTATGAAGAAATTGAGGAGATTTGTAACACATAAATTGTGTGGATTAAGTGGGTTTATCAGAGGAAAGAGAAAAACCTGATGTATTGTAATTAAGTGTTCTAGTGTTCTACAAAAACAGTAGGTAAAAGTAGGCTTTTAATAAACATCTGACAGCAAGCACAATGTTGAAATACAACAAATATTTTGTGGGTGGTAAATACTTTGGAATCCATAAGTCTTTCTGGGCAGCATTCGTATAGACTAATAAGAACAATTTTGATGTACATTTGGCTGGTGATAATTTGGTCACCCACAAAGTCACCCGCTTGAAAGCTTTGCCTTTGACACTGCTAAGTGCCTATATCTCTAAATAAGTGCTTATTAGAATTAAATCCAGCATGGAAGTGTGTAGGGAGAAAGAGGCAAAGATCTGAGTAAAACTCAAGCATCACTTTTAAATAAGACGAGTATAAAGCCTAAAAGCTATCTGACATGACCCTGAACTGGCAAGTTCTCCAAGGTGAGTAATGAAAGGTAGGTAAGATTGGCTTTTTTAAACTGTGACGCTTGCAGGAAAGTGACTGTTAGGAGAGTAAGACCCCTTTTTTGTGCCTTTGTTGGTGACAGCTGTGGGAGGGTGTATCTTCAAAGGGCTGTGATGCTGTAGGTAACACAGTGATCAAGGAAGCCTAGACAAAACCCTTTTTCTTGAAGACACCTTGTTTGCAAATATTAAGTGGATATTGAAAGCATGGTTGTGAACAATTTGTATTTTTAGCAACAGAAAAACAGGATAGAGAACTGTTGCCAAGACATAATGTATGTAATCTACACTTCTTCTGGAACTAATTACTATTTTCTGAAACTACTGCAGTGTTGTGTGCTAATGTGACTGAAAAGAGAGAGCTTTGTATAATGTTAACATCGGGAGATACAGGTTCTAGTAGCAGCTTTTGCAAGAAATTAAGATAATTTTCCAGTAATGCTTAGCTTCCCTATCAACACTGGATTGGTTTAGACTGCTTTGACCTCTTTTAAAATTGCTAGCCTAAAAAGATCAAAGTATTTTGGGGGAGTTAAGGAAACAGACACTTATTTTTCTACCGTGAAAACTGAGACAGATGAGTATGATAGTCTGATCTTCTAAAGACTCCACTCTTAACCGTGTCTAGTAAGATGGATGTCAGCATATGAAGGAAATAAGAAACAAAAGTCTTTTGTGACACCAATAGTCTAAGTTTCTGGATTCACAGTGTAATATCAAAGCTTGCTTTCACCGAGCATTTTATTCTCCTCTGTATATTTTCCTCAGCAAGAAGATTGCATCCCTGTGGTACATACATAAACAACTAAGCCAAAGATCTACTGTGGGTTGTTAAGAAGTATCCAGTTTTGATTTCACAATTACAAGGTAAGGATAATTTTGTGGCCTTTTGAAGGCTGAATATAGAATGTGCAATCTGGAAAAAGGGTACTGATGTACCACAAGCATTATTTGGTGAATGTGTTGCCAATGCAAGCTTGAGTTTTCATTATGTTGCTAGAAACCAGGCTCAGGGAGGCGAAGCACTCAAAAAATCAAACTGACCGTGTGCAAGATATCCTACATCATCAAGGAAAGCTGCTGAAGCAAACCGAGCAGGCTCATGCAATTCTAGCTGCTGGTACTGCGCACTGGTGTCTGCTGGAATGTGTCAGATGACTGAATATGAATGGGCTCTGGTGGGAGGGATGGCCTTTTCCTTGCAAATATTTCTTCAGCTCTTATGTTGCCCCTTAGCAATAATGGTTGGCTTTTTATAGAACACCGTCTGATTCATTGGCAACCTTTAGGTATTTTATTGATTTAACATTTTTTCAGAGACGCGGTGAAATATATGACCCATGGACAATGTGATTTTTTGAAAGCTGATGCTGATGTCGGGGGTGTGTTACCTGGTTCAAGCTCTGCTGTCTCTGGAGTTCATTAGAAGTTGTTTTGAATGTTTTCTACCCTGTTTATGAACTACATTTCTTTTTCCACACTTGATAAGGATGCTGATTCACACTGCCTCTGGTGTATATTTCAAACTCTCTTGCTGAATTGAGTCATTTCATGGTGAAGTAAGCTGAATGTAAGAGAAATATGTCTTGGTTGGGACACTGTGGTTTAGTGTATCAAGGCAATAAAGAGCAAGGAACAGGTTAGGAGAACTTCAGAATTCATTGTGTTTAAAAGTAATGAAGCAAAATGTTTGTGCCCTCTGAATGTTAGTCTGCCCAGCAGCTGAAATCACAATGAAAGGTGATAGCAGGCTCTGAAAGAATTGTGGGTAGCTCATCAGAACATAAGGTTAGCTGGCAGGATACTGAGTCAGAAGCTAATGAGCAGGCAGGGCTGGGATCTGATGTGTGATGGAAGTGGGTTCACCACACAAGGGTTTCAGAAATAGAAGTGCAGACCTGAGTAGCCAAGTTTGTGCTGAGACACGGGTGGGCTAACTGTGAAAGCTTCTGAGCATGAGGCAGCCACCACTGACCATTTGATGCCAGTGTCTAAATGTAGATCTAACTTTGGGTTTCTATTTCTGAAAACTCTGGCACAAGTCTTCAGGGCTTTTTAAATTGTTCTGCAAAGGACAAAACATGTAGCAGAACAGAGATAATGGTATTCAGTGTCCTTTGGCAGACACTTTGTAATGCTGACATGTTACGCTGAGAATTCTTCAGCTCCTTTTTCAGTACATCTGTATGTATCAAAAGAATTGGTGACCGAAGGAGCTCCTACTTTCTCCCTCCCTTTCTTCACCCTTGCTTTATCTCTCCAGGCGTCCCACTGGTATTAGCATTGCAGCTGCTGCTATTGAGCCAGTATTGCTGCACAGTCCTCATTCTTCTTTTCCATTGTAAAGATGGAGTAAGAAGACACTTGATAAGCTTAAAGTTGCTCCTAGCCCAGTAAAAGGCTGGGCCAAGAAGCTAGGAGACCATATAGCATGGCAGCACCCTTACACATCGGGCAGTGGATGGCTCAGTGACGACACTAAATAAGCAGGCCAGAAGGTTGGAGTTGATGCATCTGGATTTGGTGGCAGAGACAGTAGCTGTTGTTACTATACATGATTAGCAGGATATGGCAATAGCCCTGTGTAGAAACAGAGGGGTTTCCAAAACTGGTGAGCAGTTCCATATTGGAGCTAGCAGTACTGTAGGACAGACTGAAAGCAGCTGGCCTTTCCAAATTTTGTCATGAGCTATAAATTACAAGATCCCTCTCTTACATAAACAGACCTACTGTATCACACAGAGCTCATCTCTGAGTTGCTCTAAATAGCCAGGGCAGGAATAATTCCCGTGTCACTCCAGGTTTCTGCTGACCCATCATAAAAGTTACCCTGCAGTGGAAATGCTTTGGTGAATCAGATTGGAACAAAAATGGTAATGACTTTTGTGTGTTTGCTTAATGCCAGGCGATAGCTGGTTCCACTGAAAAGCAGAGTGTTAGTGAAATCTTCCTTATCCTGCTCTTTAGAGTGGCCAGCTTTTGTGGGCAGTGAGGACTGCATGCATTCAATAGCTGCTGCTGCTGGTTGGACTAGATTTCCAAAAGACAGACTGAGGAAAAAAACCCCTGTGGTTTCTACCAATGCAGGCAGCAGAACTAAGGCTTGTGAAAGGCAGTGGATGTTACAGACCCTTCAAAGTGGTTTGGAATTTGTCTGAGGACTTCTGTTGACAGAGGCTCACCCCTCTTCCCCCCATCCCTTCCTAACAAATCTGGTATCTTAGAATTGATTCTGATGTTTTAGTCTTTCAAGCAGGAAGCAGTGAGAGCAATAAAATTTAATCAACAGAGTACTTATTTTATCAAGTGAATGGATAATTGTGACATTTGACATTCTTAAAAGAGTCTGTTTCTTGAACATTTGCCTAATTATCTCCCACCTTTAAGAAATCTGTTCAGATTCTAGTTTAGCAATTCACTGCATAATCAGATTCAGCTTTTCTGAAACACTTTATTATTATTGTTGTTGTTATTGTTAGATAGTGCATTCTCTTGGAAATGTCAAGTAGGTTGTGCTCATTTGTGTTGCCTTTGTCACAGCCTTGGACTTCATTATGAAACTACATACTGTGAGTAGGTCATTCCAGTAGCCAAATCTGTTCTAAAGAACAATGGGGTCACTCAGATCAGAGGCCAGAGAATCTCTGTATAATCAAAGGAACTCTCTTAAGGTCCCTTTTAACTCTATTTTCTGGATTTTGTGGATCAGCCATTTACAGCAATGGTATGCTAGCATTCAAGAGGCATACTTTTGGCAATGCATCTGTGTCACCTAACTATAGCTGTCAGGAGCTAGGCATTCACCAAGCTAAGTTAATGGAGGAAGAAACAGCATCTCCAGGAGACAGTTTACTCCTGATGTCTGTAATACCTAATCTTAGGATGAGTGAAATTACCCTCTGAAAACTCCCCTGCTTCTCCCAGTTGATAGAGGAAACATACCAAAAAGGCTTAGACTAGGCATTCAAGAAGTTATGTAACATGAGGCCTGTCTGAGGAAAGTGGTGGTTGGTACCTAACAAGTTTGTGCAGGCTGCAGAAGTGACAGGACAAATGCATGGACTAAGAAATAAAAATGTATCACTAATGGTTCAGAAAGCTCTAAGTTGCTGATGTTCTCATTTGCTTTCTTAAGGTTCCAGTTCTGGCCCCTGTCAGAAAGAGGATTCTGGCAGGAAGGACTTATGGTCACGCCGGCCACAACTGCTAATACATTCCTGAATTCCGCCTATCTTGAAGATTTCTCAGTATTCACTCAAATGTAGCCACAAGGGAATAGATGTTGCGTGTGTTCGGAGAACCAGTACAAGGACTGTATATTCTCTGAGATTCCTTTCTGCTTCAAATAGTCCATAGACCATGTGCCAGCCCTCTGCATGAAGTTGTCTTTGAGTCCACAGTGTGAGGTGGTTTCCTGAATGGATGAGAGGAGGCAGGTGGCAAGCCAAAAAAACGCTAGTTTTCTAAGCCTGTGACTAGAGAATGAGACACAGATGTGTGAAGAAGTATCCACATTATGAATCTAGATAGACATTGATGAGTGTGTGTCCTGTCCATCATACCAAACTTACAAGCCCCTGTTTATGCATGAGACAAACCTAGTCTGTCTAGCTCAAACACTGGCAGTTCAAATTTCCTCTTAATTACAAGATTTGTGCCTTTGCCTTCATTCAAAAGGCTGATGTAAAGGAATGAAAGAGCAGTTCAGTATCTTCAACCCCTTTGCTCCTTGTTCTCATTATCATGAAGGTAAAGGTGTCAATTAGAGTTCATCAGACATTTTTATAATTAAAGCTTTAAAATGTAATAGTGAAGTGAATGTCTTACACTTTGGTCTCTTTGGTTGCTTCATCAAATGTTGTTTGTGATCTTTATAATATAATGAATGGGTGGGGTGCTGCAGTACTTCAAATAATTTGTCCTCGGGGTTTTCTCCTCTTGATCTCCATTTTTGTTTTAAACAATTACTTTCCTATGGTGCAATGGTTTATGAAGAGATTAGCCCAGAGTAACCCACAGGATAAGGAGTCCAAGGTGTATGTTATGCATGTCTGGAACTCCTCTGAATCTGCCAGCACCTCTGCCATTTGTCCCAGGGCCAGTGGATAGTAAGGATAGCTCATCTGCTGTGTTGATGGTAGGGCACTTTTCATTCATTCAGAACCTGATTTTCCTCATTTATAGTTTGCTAGTCTAATGGAGCTATTTTATGTTTAGGCTTGTCTCTCAGATTCCAATTTATCTTTAAAAAGACCAGGAATCATTTTGGTCCCACTGAATTCGGCATGAAAAACCTCAAAAGCTCTCCAAGTGGAGCTACAAAAGTGTCTTCTCTTGCACCTCTGACCTCATAGATGATCTTGTCCTTTCCCCTCTTCCTCCACCTGCCTCCATTTCAAATGCACTCACATTTTGCTGCAGGCATTTTGTACCCTCAGCAGTCCCACAAACACTTTATGTGCTCTGCACTCTGCTGGTAAGTGCACACTCAGTTTGTGCTGGCATAGGTTGCTCGCTTCCTGGTGTGTTCTGGCAGGTGGGGTGGCCTTCTTTGGAAAGAGGTGTAAAAGCACTGCTGTCCTTGCATGCAAAGATCAGTAATTTCCTTACCAGTGGAGCAGTGGCTTCAGTGCTACTTCATTGACTGCCTACTGAGACTTGGGTTCAGATTATTGAGTTCAGATTATTGTGTACATCTAGAGACATCTAGGAAGAATATAATAAGTTCCCTGTGCCTCGGAAGTGACTCCTTTTACAACACCAATTCTGCTAGATACTGTTTATATGAAGAAAAATTGGTACGAGTTTGCTTTGAGAATACATCGTAGAATAGATTTGATTTCATTGCAACATTATCGAAATTGATA